GACTGGTGAAGATATATATGATGATGTGTTGGTTGTAAGAACTTTTAATTCTAGTCGCAATGCTACATCACCAATTGGCCAAAATAACATAACCACCCCTCATTGGCGAGCGCACTAACAATATTATGCATTGTTGGACAGGCCCTTTGAATATATTGAATAATGTGCTCAAAGTGATCCAAGTAGTGTTTAGCAAAATTCGTTCGTTAAACCCCCCTACCTCGTCGTTCCGTTTAAACCCGACAACCGTCGTAGGGACGTAGTTAAAAAAATGTCCTACCTTGTGCATACTAATCTATGTCGCACACATTATTTTTTGATGGGTCCAGAGGCCTTTAAATTAATCTTTGTGAAAGACTAAGAATATCAAGGTTATTAAAAAAAAGAACGCCATTTCGCCCCATTCCACAGTGGGGAAATAAGTAGCCTCCATTTGTTCATATAAATTGGCCATAATAAATGTTAAGAAACAAAAAATTGAAGTGCGCATTTTTCTTTTTTTCTTCCCCTTCTTTTTTCTTTTTCCTTCCCCTCTTTTCTTTCCCTTTTTTCCTTTCTCCCTTTTCTTTTTTTTTCCCCCCTTTTTCTTTTATTTTTCCTTTTCTTCCTCCTTTCCCCCCCCTTCCTTTCCATCGATCTGGGGGCGAACAGTTGCAAACAAACAACTTCACAAACACATGTGTTGGAATTCTATTTTAAGTCTAATCAACTCACATCTTTTTTTTTAAACCTTAGCCATTGGAGATGAGGTTCATCTATATGTCTTGAACAACAAAATCATTTTATAAATATATTTTTAAAAATTATAATATAATAAATCCTCACTTTAGGTACTTCATTTTATATGTCAATGAAACATGTAATTTTTCACAATTTAAAATTAAAAAAAAAAAAAAAAATATCAAAATCAATATTAAAAAATATCAAACGATGTTAATTGTTTATTTTAGTTGTATTAATGCCTTCTACATATAATATTTCTTCATGTAATTCAATGTTTAGATTTCTTAGGAAGCCATAGATGTCCTCATGTTCCCTGTAAGTGCGCCCAATAATATATGCTCCGAGATTTTGTGGCTACTAACTCTACTTAGATGGTGTCCGGACCGCTCGTCAAGCACGTTGACAGCGAGTTGGGCCTCGTGTACAGGTTGATCTGAATCAGAATATGGAGTACATTTTAGAAAGAGCCTATCTAATCCGGGGTATAGGGACCCAACTCCATCATCACCACCTCCTCTATCTATGGATGAGTATGTCCAGGGCAAACTCAATCTGTGACTTTTCGTCCCATCCGAAGGAACTTTCCAATCCTCACGAGGTTCCAAAAGGAAAGGCACCTATGGTTCGATGTAATTGATGGCTCAATTTCACAAAATGTCTTTGGATCTACAAATGTTCATTTTGAAAAAATTTCAAATGCAGTCGTGTGTCAAGTCGATGCAATGGAAAATAGAAATCAAATACTACGTTCCCAAACTGAGATCCTACGTCGCACCCCGACATTCACATACACAGAGGGAGACATATATGAAATGTTGAGTGCTATGAATATTGTTGATGAAAACTTGCTCGAGCAATGTTATGATTTCTTAATGTGGAACCCCCACATGTCCAAAGAGGTTTTATGGACTTTCAACCACACAAGAGGTGAATAAGTTATGTAAAAATGATCTCAGGTGGTGACTGTTAAAATGCCTTAAATACCTGCTGTTGTATTACTATTATACTATTAAATGTACATGTTTTGTAATTATGACTTCTTGGGTTTTAAAAAAAAAAAAAAACCATCTCAATTTTTAAGGTATGGTTATGGTTCATTAATGGTTGTCTTGAAACTTGTTGGTTATTATTAATATTGACTAATTTTTGTATGACTAACTAGTTATTGTTTTTTAATTGTTCTGATTTTGTTGAAGTATATTTATTTATATTAAATGCCTCAAATCCAATCACAACCAAAAGTCCTAGAAAAAAAGAAGAAGTCGTAAGGAAAATAACCCTAACTGAGCCAAAGTTGCTAAAACCTACTGTCAGACCATCTGTCTAGGTAGAACATTAGACTCAAGCGGCTGTTTCTTTCTTTCATTCTTTTCTTCCTCTTCCAGTCACCACAAAACCACAGATGGAAAACATGTAGCTGATTTGCAATACAACAAAGGATATTTGTTGTTCAAAAATTAATGATTTCGCGAATAATTTGTCGGTTCAAGCATATATTTTCAACATCATCTTCTATTTCAAGGAGTGGTTGAATTTCTGACATTGTCAGGCCCCTTCTATCCGGATTTGATCAAAGTTTTTTATTCAAATATGAAGATTTTTGGAAATGGATATTTGCTCAGTGAGGTCAACAAGAGAAGAATTAGATTGAAACTTGCTGATTGGTTGAAAATGTTGGCTATTGACGTATGAGGGTCAAAAATTTTGTGTTAATCAAATTGCCAATTAATGAACCTTTCCTCCCCTATGACCGGAGATGACAGTAGTTGACTATGTTTAGACCAGAAAAATGCAGGGTCACCGTGTTAAAAAAACTGTAGGTTCTCTGAATATAAATTAATAGATTTCTGCATTATTTTATTGTGCACATGTTGACTTTTTCCACAACCTATAATTTTGCAAAGTTATTGCCAGGAGGATATCTTTTGTTATGGGGTGCTTAAAATAATATAGCTATCCACTCGCCTCATCAAATCATTGCAACCTATATGCTTAAATTGCAGAACTAGTGACACACACAACAAAAACAAAACCCCTACATAACGGTGTCCTTAAAACGCCAAATCAATGTTCATAAAACCCAAATCATGCAATATTGTGGAGTACATGTTGATGTCGATGCCAGCACTCATATTGGGACTATACATCATTTTTCAATTAATTCTTTGAAGATGTTGAATAATTGTTAATGTCACAGTGTTTGCAACACGACCGTCGGTGATGATGAAGACGAAGAACAACCACACCATCATGAGAACCCCTGTGCAACCTCCTCCACAACTTTCAAATCCTAATATGATGACTCAAATGTGGGAGGAGGTGCAAGACTTGCAACACAGAATGGATGATATGGAACAATGAGGTGGCGGGTTCATTGTATTGAAGAAACTGGGAAAAAACCTATCCAATCCCTCACATAACTGAGACAATTTTGCTCCCCCGTTAATCAGAATGTTCACTAAATTCTTCATCATTTAAAAAATGAATTATTTGCCTTACTATTCTATGACTGTATACAATGATTTTTATTACTTTTTTTTTACTTAATTGACTATGTGTTTGCTAACTTACAATTACCTACCCCTACCTATTTTTTGAATTCTACTTGCTTTCATCCACACAGTTTCCCATACTTTTTTTATTGTCCAATTAATTGAACTTGCAAATTAGATGGATCTTGAATAATTGATGAATTGGAAAATGAATTAACTCAAACACAAAGACTATGTTCAATTCTTGAACGACAAAACAGCCATGGAGAGTCGAAATTTTTCGCTTTTTCCAACGAACTAATAACAACAAAAACTAAATAAACGCTAGGATTCAAATCATCTAATAATTCAACTTCATCAGAAAATTTTTTCCCATAACTTATTACTTATTATACGGACTATTGAACATTTCATTCAACATGAATTGACAATTTTATTATTCCAGACATGCTTCGACTTTCTATCTAATCTTCACTCCATCCCATACAAATGTCTAATAGGATGCAATACAATCATCGTTTCCTAATTCTTACATACCTACTGAAGCAACTTCACTCATGATCTATTACAAATATATTTTATGTTATTATTTTGCAACTTTTTATTATATTATTATTATTTTATGTCACGTAATATTATACCTTCTTAAATTAAATCGGCCTCTATCTATTTCAAAATTAATAAATCCTCCTTTCACATAAACAAAATCAATTCATAGTATCTTGGAACTATATTATATTACAAACAATACTACATTTAAACAATAAATTTATTTATACTAATTTCATTTTTTTTATACTTTATTAAAAAAAAAGAATTTTTTATAATTATTTTTTAAATTTTTTAACTCTTATAAACATTTTACAATTAATATACATTAAAACAATATCATTTTATATAACTTAATAACTAGAGCATTTTGGTACTATTTAATTTCTACCAATTAAATCAAAAAAAAATTTTTAAAAATGTCACATCAAAAACAAATAAAAATCTTAACATTATACATTTATAATACACTAACTCTCACATAACTTTACCTCTAAATCTACTCTCAATTAAACCTACCTCCAATCCACTCAATTAACTAAACACAAACAAATTTACCTCAAATTCATCAATTGAATCACTCTCCTCAAATCATCTCCTTCATCCGTCCTCCGTCATCCCAAATGAAAAACAATATAAGAGTTTATATTGTGTCGAAACAATTAGAAACTAAAACATAAAGGATTCCTCGATTTTTTCCCCTGTAAATCACTGATGAATATATAATATTATATATATATATATATATATATATACATATATATATATATTTATATTCACTAATTTATTTTATGATATTTATTTTACTTTAAAGAAAAAAAAAATTATTTTTTTATCTCTTTAAAATGTCCACGAACTTAGGCGGGGCGTTAAGTCTTATTATGATTTTCATTATCTATGATGTTTCTTCTGAACCAATACATTTTTGCTTTAAAGAGAATGTATGTGTCAAAAACTTAATTATACACCACTTAAGTTTCCCTTAGATCAACTATAAAATCTTCCAATATTAATAAAATTACTTTCTTTTTTATATTATTTTTTTACATTTTTGTATGTTAATAATATTGAATACGCGAAATAATATTTTGACACAAGCTTTTAAAAATAGACTCATTTAACACAAGTTTTTAATAATAAAATATTAAATTAAGACATTAAATTAAAAACGGGGAAGTTTTTGCAGTGTGCACCATCCATTATAACTTGGCATCGTTTATAGTAAAAAATGTGAACTAAACAAAAATTAAATATTCCTTTCCCTAATAACTGTCAATCTACAACACCAACACCAACACCAAGGGAGTAACACATTCATTCACACGTATATGCCAGCCACCGGAAACTTATACAAATAAATCAGAAATTAAACTGTACAGGTTTACGAACTCAGTAATTCCAAAAGCTAAAACTGGGATTTTAGTATTAGATTTCCCAGTTTTCACACCAAAGTGGTATCGTGGATGAAGAGAAGTCTCACAAAGTGGTAAAGAAAAATAGGTGTAACTGTGAATGATGATGATGATGACATTGATGTCTTATCTTTTGGAACTACGACTCCTTGACATGAGATCCCTGAGACCGCCAACAATCCATGTCTCTTTTGCAATATCAGAAGAAATGCCGTAAAAATCAGAGTCGTATCGCATCACCACCATCTTCTCCTTCTTTCTCCTCTCTTCCTCCATCAACGACTTTAAACTCTGTCCCTTCTTTACCATCCCCTCCCCTTTTTCTTTTCCTTTTTCTCTCTCCATATTCTCCTCTTCTTCAACATCACCACCTTCCCTCTCTCTTACCCAACTTTTCGCCGGAGCAGACCTACAACGCATCAGCAATAATGCGTTCGGAGGAGGAACCGACACCGACACAGACACGCTTTCCTCCTCATTTCCTCTCTCCTCTGTCTCTTCTCTCCGCTTCTTTTGGTTCTCTTGCAACACCATGAACCATTTCGAGAAAACAGTTCTCGATGCTTCGCTCTCGTTTTCTCCCACGCCCACGTCGTTTTCCTCCTCTTCTTCGACTTCCTCCACCTCCTCCTCATCGTCTTCTTCTTCTTCTTCAGTGGCGATGTCGGTCCCGGAGAAGGAGCCGAAGCATCCGAAGTCGAACCTTATGCTTCGCAAACAAGTCAAGAACTGCATTATCTCCTTCTTGAAACCGAGGGTCTCGGCCCAGCCGAGACGCTTCCTCTGTTTTTTGTCGGTGTGGATCTTCTCTATCTCTTCCATCACCGATTGCCAGCTCCTGCACGTCGTCGTTTTGGGCCGGACCTTGATCTGACCGGCGCACGTCACTTTGGGGGAGGTTGGTTCCGTGATTTCCGAGTCCATCGACTTGGTTTTGGTCCATAATAAAGGACTGGCTTGGCCTCCGGCGCCGCCTCTGGAGAAGGATTTCTTACGGTGGTGGTGGCTGTTGTGGTGGCGTTTGGTGGGTTCGGAGGGTCGGGCGGGGCTGCAAATGGGCTTGGGCATTAGAGTAAGATGAGCCCGAGATGGGAAACATACCAAGAGATCAGCAGAGGGCGGTGCTAGTGATAATGATTTGCCTTCTCTTCCTCTGATCATATTTTTGGTTGTTGTAAATTGTTTTGGGTTAACGTGTTTGTTGCAATGACCTTAGATCTTGAGCCTGGTTAGGAACAGTAGAGCAGTAACAGTAGAAGAAGAAGTAGCAAATACCAATGGTGGTGTTATTGTGTGGGGGGTTTTTAAAAGAAAGGAGGGAAGCAATGACAGCTTATGCAGTTATGCTTTAGCCTTTATCTAGGTGTTCTTCTCTTTTATCCATGGGTTTGTTGAATTAATTCTTATAGCGCTGCTTTTTGGTCCCCCCCTTCTCACTGTTTGAATTTGTGTCACGGGGGTTTATTTATTTAAAATAGATAATAGAAATTGGTGCTTGGTTGGGGAAATGCTTAAAAAAGAAAAAGGTTAAATGGAAAGGCAAAGCCCACGAGCCTTGCTTCATGATCCAATCATGGCCACACCTTCTGAGCCCATGCCAGATGCTTCACTTCACTCTGCATCTCAAAACTACCTAACGGCCCCTCCTTTCGAACCCACAACTTTTTGTGACAATATTTAAACTAACCAAAACCCTCCTTCTTTGCAGAGAATGAATGAATGAATGAATGAATACAGATCATTGCTTGGGGATCAGTTTGAACCCAAACCCTTTTCTCTTACTCCAACCATCATAACTCATTTTATTTCTGTAACATAGTAACATAAACACTTTCTCACCCTTTTCTTTATCTTTCTTGTCTCACTGTCTCGTACTTTTTATCTTTAAAAAGTCAATATATCTAAAGAAACAAAATGATGCTGAGTGTATGAATATGATTTGACAGTAGCAAGAAGGAGTTTGCTTAGGTCTAGGTTGAAGAAAATTTTGAAGTACCTTTATTCTTTTTCTCTCCTATTTTTTTTTCCTGAATGGGGAGAATGTTATCTTGCAGCCGAACTAAAGTTATGAAGGTGTGAAACGGGAACTAAGTAAAGTGAGGATATCATAATGAAGACGGTAATGCACTTGATAGCATGGGAAAAATGGTCCCCTCCAGTCATTATGCAGGTAGCACTAGGATTATAATTTTATGCTTTACCAGGACGAATCATATAATACTCTTCTTCATCTTTATCATTTAATTCATACTTGTCATCATCATATTCAGATCTTTTACACTTATATATTTACATATTCCATCTTACATCCATATAAACAAACCTAAATAACGCTTACAAAAGGTCATGCTAAGGTAACTTCCTCAACTCATACACGTGTTTCACTCTCAACTAGTATATTTCAATTATCTTTTCAATTTTGTAAAGTTACTCATCCCTGTTTCACATGAATTTTCATCACAAAACTTGCTGTTACTATATGACAATTTTCAAAATATCCCAGAAAGAACACGGAGATAAAGGTGGCCAAGATTTTGAACTAGACAAACTTTAGTGACAATTTGTGATCAATTTCATCAGGTGTGTGAAAAAATCAGCGACTACATCGAAACACCATCATCACACCGATGCTCGTTCACTCGGCAGATGTTTTTGTGTATGCAATTTTGTCGTTCATGACAAATTAAAACAGTTAACTGATTACTTGTTGCATATGGAAAGCGATATCAGGTTTCTCCTTGGTGAATATTGTATAAAATCACATGTTTCTTAAATGAAAAAATCGTGTCAAATATTTTTTTTTTTTAAAATATTCGTTACCCAATACAATTTTGAAATAAAAGGAGTTCTTGAAATCTAATTTCTAAGAATTTTGACTTGTATTTTTTTTTTCTTTTTGCTTTATTTCAAATATCAGAGCTTAAACTTTAACTTTAAATTCTTTATTTTTAGTTTTAAAGTAACTTTCAAGCTAAAAGAAATCAGACAAAGTGCTACTTTGGAAGTAATATAATAATTATTTTGAGTTCATTCAATTTAGAAGACATTTAGAATAGGTGATGTGCATGTGGTTGAAGAAGTCATTTTCTCACCACATCACGTCAAATAAGAGTGTGGAAAAAAGGAAGAGAAAGCGTGTTGAAATCGTTTGCATCTTCGGCTTTCCATAAGAGAGACAGCTCAACTTCTTACGAAGTCATTAACCATGAAACCTAAGAAGTAGCTAGTGGGCTACGATTTAATAATTCAATTGATATTATAAAACAATTCACTTTGTAAAAATATTCCAAATCATCTTAATTTAGCTTTAAATTCTATTTTATTATAATATACTATCAAAGTCAGTAAGAATATATCTTGTTTCATATTGAATGGATGTATTGTATCACTGACTGTCGATACTCTCTTTAATATTATGTTTGATAACTTCAATATATATTCTCTTTAATAGTATGAGAAGGTGCGTTAAACGATCTCATATGAGTTAACCTTTAAAATTAATTTAGATTGTACACTACTATAACACTATAATATGCTGTCAAAATTATTTTTTAACATCTTATAAAAATAATTTACCATGCAATTATGTACATTTAAGGCAATAATTTTCTTTAATGATTTTAAAATAAAGTTTGAAAAAAGTAGCTCAATTAATGATGCATGTTTTTCATAAAATGATATATATATTGGATAAGAAATGAAGTGCTCCAATAGTTTTGAGATATACTTTTTGTTGGGTAGGCTCTATAATTAAAAATTTGAAACATTTTGTCTAACTAGGCCCATCGTGCATTTACTTATTCTAACATCTCTTTACGGAAAGCAAGATGCTTCGTATTCGGCCATATCAATGCTATGAAAGGGGAAGGAAGACCACAACACAACCAAATTAGAGTGAGGGATGGCATAAAGATTTCAATCAGTTCAGCTTCGGTGGATATATCTAATGAGAATAACATAAAAGAGTCTTCAAATTAAAAAATAATTCGGAAAACATAACCAAAAGAAAAAAAAAAGAATAATATTTTCAATCATTTTCTTTTAGTTTTGTAACACAAGATGCAATGTCTTTGTAAACAGTGACACATTCAGAAATTTTCTTTCAAGTGGATTAAAAATAGTTTATAGTACATATGCAAAAGAAAAATATATATCATAGACTTTTAGAAACGTATATGATTTTATGAAAACAAATGTACAATATTTAAGTTTGTGTGAATTAACTAATATGGTAATTTTATGCAAATATTGAAATCAAAATAAATTTTGTCATGCTAAATTTTATTCTTTGCTCAAAACAAATTAGAAGATTACCTTATTTTAATCAATAATCCAAATGCAAGCTAGTAATGTATGAATGGATGAATGTTATGGTTAATAATGTATGTCTAAATGTACTTGAATAAAATGTATCTATGCGTGTTGGAGGTGTGGGTTGGGAAGAGGTTGATGATGGTAATGGAGGATTGATTGTGGGTTAGGTTCTGGTGGTTTTAAGACGAAGGATAATAATGATGAATCTGTTTTTGTTGGATTATGCATGTGGAGGTAATAGATGAATCTCCAGCAGAGCAAATGAAGGTGAGGAAGAAGATGATAATGGATTTCTTGCTTTTGGTGTGTTTTTGGGTGACTCAAGTGTGTATGTAAGTGGGTGTTGATAAAAAAAAA